AGTGTTGGGCATTTATAACTTGGCCAGCTGGGCATTTATTGAGGGAGTCGGTTATGCTGTGAGAAGAGTATAAGAAGGGGCTTTGGGGGATGGGTGAGGTAGGCTTTTGTTGAGTAAAGAATACTGTGAGTGATTGGGAGAGCCGGCGGTCTCTCGAAGAACCGACCAATTGTTACTGTTCTTCCTTTCTTCTAAATGAATACCAGTTTCTTTGCTGATATTTGAGTCGTGAGAATTCTGCTATGAGTCTGAGAATCGTGTGTGAACTTTTTGGGACATATCAGTGGTATCAGAGCGCGTCTTTCCTCGGCCATGGTGACAGCTAAGGAAGTGGCATCGCAGGTGGTGGGTTTCAAAGAATGCTTGACTTCTCTGCATTCTGAAGTGGAGGGCTTACGTGATGAGATAACAGTTGGACTTTCGAAGATCTCGTCTCTGGAAGGAAGCGTTCAAGATCTGGTGAGACGTTTTGATCTGTTGCTTCAGCAACAGGCCTATTCAGCTCCTTTGTCTACGACCGACATTGCTCCTCCTTTAGTTGCATCGAGTTGTGCGGCTGACAAAGGGAAGAGTGCGGAATTTCCGACGTCTTCCTCGATGCCGGTGCCGGAACATACTCCTGATTCACTTCCTCGGAAGTTGGAGTTGCCTAATTTTGATGGGGAAAATCCAGACAGCTGGCTTTTTCGTGCGGAGCACTATTTCGAGATTAATGGATTGCTTCCGACAGAGCGTCTGCGAGCTGCAGTTGTCTGTTTAGAGGGCAATGCATTGGCGTGGTATTACCGGGAAGTTGGTCGGCGACCTTTTCGTGGTTGGACAGAATTCAACTCCTTAGCTTTCTGGACTCCTTCCATAACTGCAAAGATCTCAGCTCTAAGGGAGTCACCCACTCTAATTGGGCCTGATAACATGGCAGAAATGACCCCATTTTCATCCCTAAAAACACCCCCAATCCCCGATTGTCCTGGATTTCCCCTACTACACCCATCAAAGTTTAATTTCACGAATCCACCAGGTGCAGGGGTCCAAGCCACACTCATTACTGACTTGGTCTATGTGCAAATTGCAATCTCTCCCCACTTCCTCAACATGTCATCCACAGTGTAATCTGTGAAAAGCTCCAAAGATTTCAGCCACTGTACCGCCCTAATATGTATGATAGCCCTCAGATCTGCTGCTCCTCTCTGAGCTTCTGAGAAAATCCTGGAGTTTCTTTCTTCCCAAAGAGTCCAACATACTGCAGCCCTTAGTCCTCTCCACATTGTCCTTCCTCTTTTTATCCGCCACCTGAAAAAAGAAGGGGAAAAAAGACCCTGCAAGTCTGATGGGGGATTCCAGATACATCCAAATAGGGAGAAGGCCCATTCCCAAATTGACCTCGCAAAATGGCAAGACATTAGTAGGTGAAAACCAGTCTCCCCATCCGCTTTACAAAGAACACACCACTGAGGTGACAAACAAGTATTGGGTCTCTTCTTTTGAAGTAGATCACCAGTGTTGATTCTTTCCAGATAGGCTTCCCAACAAAAACTACCAACCCTAGGAGGTAT